AAAAAGGCTGGAAAGAGGGAGCGGCCATGCACCCACACCCGCAGGTCCCGAGTTAGGAAAGCGCCTAGGGCAAGGTGCTGCAGTCACCATACGTTCGTGCCTCAGTTTCCCCACCTGCAGCACGTCGAGAACACCGACTCTGGGGCAGCCTCGCAGGGCAAATCCTACCTCTGCGGGTTGTTGGAGCCGGCAGAGGCGCGGGCCCGGCTTTCCCGCGCCCCGCGCCCCCTCCCCCTGCCACGCCACTGCCAAGCGTGTCCGGTTCCTCCCCGGCCGAGGCGTGGCGAAGGCAGACGATGTTTTTTTGGGTGGGCGCTGCCCGTGCCCGGGTCACCCTCCTTATGGCTGAGCTGGCCAAGGTGAGCCGGGGGCAGGAAGGGATGATGCGGGCGGTGCCGCAGGATGCAGCAGATACCGGGCGATGCCGACGGCGGGAGGAAGGCCACCGGCCCGGCGAGTGTGATGGTTTGTGCAGCGGAGACCAAGGGAACTGAGATTAAAAAAAGCCCCGCTAAGATCAGAAAGGCTGGCGCGCACAGTGCCCATTGTGGAGCTGTCACACTTCCCTTTACTTTATTGCTTTTGTCCAACACCCTATTGTTCCACTTCCTTTTGTCCCCTATTCACAGCCCTGGCTTTTCATTACCCAGCCGGCCGTGTTGTTTTCGTTTCTTTTGTTTGAAGTTCCTGAGAGGAAGGTTTTATTTTCAACGGTTTGATTAATTCGCAGCTTGAGCTGAGCTTTGTTTGTTATGTAATTGCTGCCCCGAGTCGGGCTCAGCCCCCCCACCCCGGCTCACACCCCCAGCACCGATTTTGGGAAGCGGGGTCCTGATCAGCCGTCGGGGTGTGGGGAGGCGAGAGGGAGCAGAGCGCGGGGGTCCTGGTTGTGGGGTGCCAGAGCCCAGGCAGGGTGCTCTCTCCATCCCGCCACGGCCCCTTCCCACCTCGGCAGCCCCCGTGGTCCCGCACCGTGGATCCTGGCCCCCGGCAGCAGCCAGTGTAAATCCCTCGGTGAAGGCACGGTGAGCTCCCGGCGTGCTGGCACTCGCTCGGGGATATGGTCCCTGCAGCCCTGGCACTGCTGGAGGCTGCAGCAGAGCTGGGGCTCTGCAAGGGACGTGGCTGTGACACTTTGTCTGGGGCAAAATCCATTGAAAATACCCACTCTGGATGTGCCTGGAGTCCCCTGGGGTTATACAGCTCATCCACCGTAAGAGCTCGTGGTCAGTTCTGCGGTGCCTGGCTGAGCGGCTGGCAGCACCAGGAGTTGGACTGGCACTGGCAACCGGCCATGTGAAGTTGGGAAGAACCATTCCCCAGGGCTGACCCCTCACCTTGGCTGGGGCTTGGCTGGTCCCAGCGCCGTGCTGGG